ATGGGGAAAAGAGTAACGCTTAATATGGCAACTCAAGCCCCGCCTTCTAGTACAAAAAGCCAATCATAGATCGCTAATAGACTTAACAATTCTTCTGGGGGAGGGGCTTAGATCAGACGTGAGTTACTACAGATTCTGAATGATTCAAATGTTTAGAAATGAAACTAAAGACACAGATGTTGTTTAATTTTTTTCGATAATTTGATGTTTCCTCATTCAAACAGAATGCCCGAGCATACTGCCGATTGAAATGACCTGACCTAAAGGGAGTTTGGAAAGTATTAGGGCTGTTGAGTTAATCAGTTGGGTGAATCAGTCAGTGACTCACTCATGAAGAATGAATCAGTGCTGCTGAATCAGTGCAGCTGAAATAATCTGTCAAATGAGTCAGTGACTTACTCATGAAGAATGAATATGAATCAGTGCTGCTGAATTAATTGGTCGAATGAGTCAGTGACTCGCTTATGAAGAATGAATCAGTGCTGCTGATTTAATTGGTCGAATGAGTCAGTGACTCGCTTATGAAGAATGAATCAGTGCTGCTGATTTAATTGGTCGAATGAGTCAGTGACTCGCTTATGAAGAAGGAATCAGTGCTGCTGAATCAGTGCTGCTGATTTAATTGGTCGAATGAGTCAGTGACTCGCTTCTGAAGAAGGAATCAGTGCTGCTGAATCAGTGCTGCTGATTTAATTGGTCGAATGAGTCAGTGACTCACTCATAAAGAATGAATATGAGTCAGTGCTGCTGAATTAATGGATCGAATGAGTCAGTGACTCGCTTATGAAGAATGAATCAGTGCTGCTGAATTAATCGGTAGAATGAGTCAGTGACTCACAGATGAAGAATGAATCAGTGCTGCTGATTTAATTGGTCGAATGAGTCAGTGACTCACTCATGAAGATTGAATCAGTGCTGCGTAATTAATTGATCGAATGAGTCAGTGACTTACTCACAACGAATGAGTCAGTGACTCGCTTCTGAAGAAGGAATCAGTGCTGCTGAATCAGTGCTGCTGATTTAATTGGTCGAATGAGTCAGTGACTCACTCATAAAGAATGAATATGAGTCAGTGCTGCTGAATTAATGGATCGAATGAGTCAGTGACTCGCTTATGAAGAATGAATCAGTGCTGCTGAATTAATCGGTAGAATGAGTCAGTGACTCACAGATGAAGAATGAATCAGTGCTGCTGATTTAATTGGTCGAATGAGTCAGTGACTCACTCATGAAGATTGAATCAGTGCTGCGTAATTAATTGATCGAATGAGTCAGTGACTTACTCACAACGAATGAATCAGTGTTGCTGATTTAATCGGTCGAATGAGTCATTGACTCTCTCATTAAGACTCACTCAATCAAATGTGTCAGTGACTCACTCGTGAAGATGGAATCAGCGCTGCTGAATTAATCGGTCGAATATGTCAGTGACTCACTCATGAAGAATCAATTAGTGCTGCTGAATTAATCGGTCGAATTAGTCATTGACTTAATCATGAACACTTACTCAATCAAATGAATCAGTGACTCACCCACGACGAATGAATGAATATGAATCAGTGCTGCTGAATTAATCGGTCGAATGAGTCACTGACTCACTCGTGAAGAATGAATCAGTGCTGCTGAATTAACCGGTCGAATAAGTCACTGACTCACTCGTGAAGAATGAATCAGTGCTGCTGAATTAACCGGTCGAATAAGTCAATGACTCTCTCATGAAGAATGATTCACTGTCAAATGAATTGGTCAATGAGTCAGTGAGTCACTCTTGAGGAATAAACCAGTGCTGCTGAATGAATCAGCTGAGTGAATCATTCAGTGACTCACTCATAAAAAATGAAGCTGTGCTGCTGAATAAATCAGCTAAGTGAATCAGTTAATGGCGTACTTATGAAGAATGAATCACTGCTGAATGAACCAGCTAAGTGAATCAGTTAATCGCGTACTTATGAAGAATGAATCACTGCTGAATGAGTCAGTCGACTGAGTTAGTAACTCAATGATAAAGAATGAACTGTGTTGTTTATTGAATTATTTATAGCCTTATGATGTGTTTTCATCCCACCTAAAACATTAAATACATTTTTAGATATTTCAGAAAGATATCAAATATGGATAAAGGAATTAAGAGTTTGGTCTTTTATTAAATATTTTTAAACAAAATGTTCCATAAAAGTTTAAACTCCAACATTCACATGCAAAAAATAAAAAGCCTACATTAAAACATATATAAAAAGGTAAACACATGATAAATAAGGAAATAAATAAATAGAACAATGAAAAAATAACCATTAGGTTTCAAGTATTTCACATTTTTAAAGATCATTAAATCATAAAATTAATCATCTTTAAATTTAATAAATACATAAATAACAAATATAAATAATAAACAAATAATAATAAAAATAATTAATAAATAATAATATATAAGTGTGTGAGAGTATGAAGTGAGTTTTTAAACCTTTGTTTATGAATAAAAAGTTTAAAAACAAATAAAAAGTTGCATATTTCGTACAAAACAAATCACTTTTATTGTCACATCATCATCTTGCTTGAATTATCAATAAAGTATTACCACAAGTACTATTAGAAATATTTTACTTGCAGAATATGAGGACTCGACTATTCGTCTGAATGAACGAGAGGAAATTTGTAGATATTAACATCCTCACGTCATTAATGTAAACTCCGCTGATCTCTATGCAGTCTGTCTAGGTGATGACGTCAGTGGAATGAGCTGTAGATCGCGCAATGGTGTCGCGCATGCGCAGTCGGAGCGCAGCCTCAGTTTCGATTCTCTGCCGGCAGAAACAGCTAACCCACACAGACTGACAGACGATTCAACTAAATCAACCCAAACTAAACCAAATTGACCCATTCGGACTAGTCACGGCTGGGGGTTCACCTCAGGTCTGTTCTCCTCACACTCTCCACACGCACGACAGCTGTTTTCATTTCGCGGTTTTTTTCAGAAATGGAGCGGTGAAGTTTTGCTAATGATGCTCGTGAAGCTCAATGAATGAAGACAGCTGACAAAAACACAAGATTTGAGCTTAAACACTTGCTTTTTAATATATATTTGTGCCGTTTGAGCAGTTGACTGTGTTAGCATATTATTATTGGTCGGTTTAACGTTAGCTTTAGTTGTTTGTTTACATTGAGCTGTTTTAACATTAGCTAGTATCTTCTGTTATTGAGGTAAAGCTGGTTTTATATCCACACATTCAGACTTCTCCTTAATTAAAACGTATTATTTGCTAAATTCTTAACAGTGAAATCATATAAGCAGCCACCGACCACCAGTACAAGTTCACTGTCAAATAAATGGTGCCAATGTTGTTTTGCAGTCAAATTCACATCTGATTTCATACCGAATATTCAAAGTATCATGGTGAACACAAACTTATAGGGAGCGTGTCAGAAGATGTCATTGTGCGAATGTGTATATATATGTAAATAAATCATTTGCAAATCCTATTTACGGCAATACTTTAATGCTGTTATAAAATAGTGAATAATAGCAGAGACCATCTATATTATGAAATTGTTGATAAATAATTATTTTGATTTTCTGTCCTGCAGGGAGAATCATGTCACGCGGAGGGCAGAAATCAAACATGAGTTCATCTAAACAGCACCAGGCGTCTTCACTGAAAGCCAAAGGATTCAGAGACATCAGGATCGACGAAGAGGTCAAAATCGCTGTCAACATCGCCCTGGAGAGATTTCAGTACAGCGACGAGAAAGGTCTGAGGAGTTATTATCTAAAATCATCACAGAAAAGCAGTTCTGCTGGTAGTTTCATTCATAATCTGTCATATATATGAACAAATGTAGGCGGGGCTTGATTTTTGTACTTCAGGAATTGATTGGATGGCTCTGGTTTGTTATTGGTGGGTCTTGTAAGAGTGACAGGTTGGTCCCGCCCTCACAGCGGTAAACAACACCAATCAGTGAGAAATGTTGTTCAAATAATAAAAACAAACTTTATTTTATAAGTATGATTTACCACATGATCCTCTGATCTATTTATATATTAATTATTAATTTATTATTAACTAATGTTACTATTGAATGTTACAATTTAATTGCTCTGCGAGTTCATCAACTCCTCCGGAAACTGTACCTGGATAATGGAGGCTTCCAGCGGTGCTTCTGACTGAGCCGAGTCCAGTTTGATGAACTGTTGTCCGGGGACACCAACAACAGGCGTTACGTCATAATCACGCTTCTACAAGAGAAAGCTCCTGATTGGTTAACGTGGCGCGAATGTCCGCTGAAGTTCAGATTTTTCAACTCGTCAATAACCCTCTCTACTCCAGTGTTGCAAAATCTGCTGACACAGCGCAACATGATTTAGAAACGGCAATGAACTTGTTGCCGGTGAAATTGAAACCATTTAATGCAAAATGAAATGCATTTCTCCACTGTAAACTTTTTCGTGTTGTCATGAACGACACGCAGTTTGAATTGTGAATATTTACCCATGTGAATATTCATCTGTACTTTACATTAAATTTCTATAGAATGGCTTCAGAACATTTACAATATAGTAGCCTACATGACAACTTTCTAGTGCCTCATAATAGGCTACCTTCATGGTTTTTGTTGCCTTACTGGGCTCGAAATTAACCTGTTTGCTAGGTAGCACCGGTGCTCCTAACTTTAAAAATGTAGGCGCATCAGCCAAAATTTATTCGCACCACCAATTATGAGCACCGTTACTAGTTTTATACAACATATTTATTGCATTTGAATTCAACAGTAATCAAACTAACAAGCCACAAATATATATACATATATATTTAT